GGTTTTTTTTTTTTTTGAAATAAACTTTCTGTTTTTTTTTTTGAAATAAACTGTCTTTTTTTTTCTTTTCTTTTCTTTTTTTTTAGATCTCTTTCAGCAAACGTATACAAGACTCAGCCCAAGGCCCAACAACAGAAAGGGCCAACTAACAAAAGCCCAAATAACAACAAAAAAGAACCCGCGGGTCAACCAAGCCCAAATATTTTCGAAGGAGCGGATCTGGATCAGCGATCAGCGACGACGAGGTGAGGCGGCAGCGGATCTTCGAAGGAGCTTCGAAGGAGATCTGGATCAGCGACGACGAGGTGTTCTATAAGGTGAAGTAGCGACGACCGTTGAGGACGATGAAGACGAGGACGAAGCAAGCTTTTTTTTTTTGTTTTTTTTTGTTTTTGAAGTGAGGCGGCTAGGGTTTTGGAGGCAGTAGGGTTAGGGTTTTGGAACCTGGCTCTGATACCATGTTGAAACTAAGAAATCAGATGGCTTGGCCATTTCATTCATCTCCATGGGTATATATAGGGTTACATATAGGTAATAGGCTAATGGGTTAATGGGCCCTAACCCGATAACCCAAGAACTAATTCTAACAAGCTTAATCAATGGAACTGCAAATATATGTTGAGTAGTCTAAATGAATCCTATGTCATGAAAGTTTCCTATATAGATACTAAAGTGCAGCAGAATGTTAATTGTTCGATAAAGTCTGTATAAACATAGCATTTGTGAACCATTTTCTGTTAGGATTCTAATTCAGCACAATCATTAAAACCCATAAACCAAATGTTCTTTTTGTTGGGACTAACCCAAGAGCATATTAGATGTTCAATGATTCAGTCTTAAACTGTCTTATTCTTGTCATCTGAAAACCGATCATTGGGTCTTGGGGTAGATTTTTTGAATGGGATATTGAATCTTGTTGGTTAAAGAGTAAACTTGTCTTTTGTTCTAGTTGCTTACATTGTTTTAAATATCCCTGACATGGCCCGATATATCCCCCGATATATCCTTTTACAGGGCTTATCGCAACCGATATGGTCTTTAAATATCCTTTACCGCTTTTTGGCTATTTTGAGTGATAAATCCCCGATATGGCCGATATATTAGCCGATATGTGGACCAATATATCTTTTTTATATAGCTTGTTGCAAAATAATATACCGTGTTTGGAATTTTTGGGCGAGATATCAAGATTTCCCCATTATATTAAATGACATTTTGCCCTAAAAAAAGCAGATCGAATGTTGCAACGTTGCTTTGCACTTTTGTTTGTTTTAGAAGGTTGATTAGTGATCCTAAACATATATTATTCATATTTTGTATGCTTAAATTTTCATTACGTATGTTGAGATTATATTTTAATGCATTATACTATGTATGCAAACATTCATTATGACATTCCGATATTTACCACATATCCCCGATATTTCCCCGATATCCGCAATCCGATATGAATTTCGGCCATCCGATATTTCCCGGATATCCGATATTTAAAACCTTAGTTGCTTAAGATATAAGAGTAATTTGAACAAATAGCTAAATACTCGTAATAGCCTTGTTAGTTTTTTAAGGTAAGTGGTGGGGTGGAAGTACTCGTGCTTGTTAAAAGGCTTTTAACTATAATAAAATACATAATGGCAAAAAAATAATAAAAATAAAAGTAAAAAGGTCCTGAATCATTCCCAGCCAACCTTTATCTATTGAGTGCAAAACTAAAAATTGTAAGTATGTAGTACATATACAAGTCTTTTACTGGCAAGTGAGAGACATTGAACTATGACATAGGAACACGAATGCCTAAGTTCCACAGGTATAAGAAATAGCCGTGAAGTGTAGGATATACGTCCAAGAAGTGTATGAGTGTTTTAAATTAAATCGTGTATTATGTAGTTGAGTATATGCTAAGCAAACATATCACATATTCGAGAATTGTCCAAGAAAATCCGGTATGCGTACGGGTAGGGGTGTGTGTTGGGTACAGGTATGGCTGCCTTACAAAAGTACCCAGGTAATATAGCTTTCTCATGGATACCAAGATTATCATTATTTGATAAAATTTGATGCTTCCCTCATACAATGTTATAACTCATTTGCTTACATTATTACTTTTAAGAGCACCCTTAGTGTAGCCCTGTTTTAAGAAGCCTAAGTGTTAGCATGTTTAGCACTTGGTAAGGTGGTGGTCTAATGATTGAGGAACCATACTTGGTTAATCCATCTACCTCTTTGCACTTGGTTGAGTTTTAATAGGACAATTTTGCTTGGAATTGTGCAACTTGAAATCCCTTTCAGCCCCCTTTATGTCTTGGCATACCTGAAGTTTATTATTTTGATTTCTGAGAACCCTTTATTTTATTGTCCATATTCTATAATGAGCATGAACCAATCGTGAAGTATGATTATACCTGAATACTTTAGTTTGGTCATGAAATATTTTACTTGATTCTTTTATTTAAGTTTTACTATAACTTATATCATGAGCTAGAAGTAGAATACATGTCATACACAAGACTAACAATAGAAGTCTTTGTGAGAAACCATTATTAATGATATTTTCAGCGTATAACATCTTCAATTAAAGTCTAAAAGCTTTCTGTTTAACACTTGTAAGTGTTAATATATTTTTCTTCTATTTCTTGAAAAATAACTTCCAGCTGTATGTTGTGCTAATAGATTACGGATTTAGTTGTTTATTCCCTCCATAATAATGTTGTAAAACATACACCTTCAACATTTGAACACAGGTTTTTATGGCTCTAAGACAGAAATTCCAGCATTATCTCAAGGAATAAGTCAGCTGGTCCCTTATGCATTTAAAATGTTATAGGTCGAACGTTAACTGCAAAAAACTTCGTCTTATGATCCTTAAAAGAATAAATAATAGGGTCAAGGACTACGTTGAAGAGCATGACTCCTATAGCAAACGATGTCCTTGAATCCTAAAAACTTTTGATCCAAGGTATCTCTACTCTTCTCAAAGTAATCTCAGTGAAATCAAGCAAGTTATAAGATATCTTTTAAGTCCATGTCTACAAGTAATTGTTATTTAGCTTTCTCTATAATAATACACCTATATATTTGCTACAATATTCTTGTGCAACATCTCGTATAATGATGCGACAGTGAGATATTGACCATTGACATGCATATTATTTGATACTCGTATGATCCATGTAATATCCATACACAAAATAACTCCGGATCAGAGCCTATTCTTTTTAATTGGTTCATTTGTCTTCTAATTCTTGAAAGTTAATGCTATTTGACATTGTCATTTACCTATTCTTTTTAATTGGTTCATTTGTCTTCTAATTCTTGAAAGTTAATGCTATTTGACATTGTCATTTAATGTAGTGCACATTCTTAGATGGAGACTAATCTTGAAAGTTAATGCTATTTGACATTGTCATTTAATGTAGTGCACATTCTTAGATGGAGACTAAGCAACACTACCAAGAGCGCATCGTCTGAAGAGATCCGAGTAAATTACTGATATAAGTACCTAATTGAGATAAATGGAAAGATTCAATAAATATTTTGGTTTTTTTGTTTAGATTACTATAGATATATTTATTTAGATAATTAATTAATGCATGAATTAAAAGGCATAAAAGAGTACTATCCATCTTTTGATTCTTTGAATAGTATATTTTTTCACTGTTTTCACACAAGGTTTGATCCATCAGCCTTTACATACCGAATTTTGAGCATGTTTGTAAAATATAGCTGAAACCAAACTATACAGTCGTTAATGGCTGACAACATTTAATACATGCTGATGTAGAATAATAATTCTAATTACGAGATATGAGGTTTGAAGTAATTGAAGTTGAACGGTTAATAGGTTTGAAGTAATTGAAGTTAACCAATTTTGAAATTTCAAACCTTGTTTCCAATTCACCACAACCCAGCATGCAAAGTTCTTGCATTGCCTGAACCACGGTTAATAGGTTCAAAAGTATAGACATTCTTTTTAGTAAATGTCTGAGATATAATTCCTTTTCTAATTCATTTCCTTTTTAAATTTCACA